CCCCAAAACCCCAAAACCCCAAAACCCCAAAACCCCAAAACCCCTAAAAATTGGAAATAGGTTGAAATTAATTTTAATTTTACCATTTTTAGGTGAAATGGTTTCTAGGGACACTTAACTTTAACCATAAAGCCAAGTGATTATCCTAATTCAGAAATCGGCCAAATCGTTCTAATTAATGTATAAATAAAGCAAGTCAGAACCCAAGTGTAAGAGAAGTCTAGTTTTGCAATAAATGAGTTATAATAACTTATTTATGAAATGTTTTTGTTAAATATAGGTGAAGATGATCCTATTCACATCTTTCTACAATTGCTTCTGACTTGAATAAACTTATGACTTTATCATAAGCTTCTTGGATTTCCTCTCTCGTTTTGCCACCGAGTAAAGTGATCTTCCCGTTTGCAAAGAGCATCACTGTAACTTTTGGAGATAAAATTCTGAACACCAACCCTGGAAATAGCTCAGGATCGTAGTCACAGATTTCATGATAAGTGTGGTGAATTCTAGCTAACTTCAGTTGGAACCCAAGGTCAGCAGAAGCAACAATGTTTACAATCCTGAATTTTGAAAACTTTACTTCAAATCCAAGATTCTTAATTATTTTAGCTACCTTCTTTGCTGCTCTTTTTCAGTCAATTTCAGATTTTGCTCCAGTTCAGACCATTTTTCCAGACCCAAAGATGAGTCAAGTCGCCTTAGGGTTTCTGAGTCTCATTATTACACCTGAAAATCTCTTAGAGTTGTACTCAGAGTTCTTAGAGTTCAAAACAACAACTTCAAGATCAATTTTATACTTCAAGTCAACAGTTGCAACAATGTTTTGAAGAGTTGGAGACTCTTGAGGTTTTTTCTGACTATTTTCTGAGCCAACAGAAGGCTGTCAAAGTTCGGTGAGACCCAGCCCAGAATCTATCAGATTCTTTTTTAACCCTTCAATACACTTAGAATCAAGCTTCTGGGAAGGCTTAAGTGTATTTTTAGCTTGTAGAGTCTGCTTTAAAATAGCATTGGGCTTTATAAGGTGTTAGAAAAAACAGAAAATAGGTGAAATGTATTAATAGAGTCCAAAGCGTGAGGGAAAGTATTCCTGGATAATCCATTTTAGATAAACTTACTTTACGCATAGTGTTCTCTGTTTTAGAGTCTGAAAGAGAATTATCTGTGAGAGAGAATGAAGGTTGGCTAATTTTTAGAAGTTTTTCTGGAACCTGAGCCGGAGTCTCAGGAGGTAGAGGAACAGACTGCTTTGTCAAATTGGGATATAGATTTGGCTTCTTTGAGTATTCAAGAATGTCCTCAAAGGTATTTGGTTGCTCTAGTTGAGGAATATTTGTAGAGGGAGAGTTTGAAGCTGGTGAATTAAGGGTAGACTTGTGAAAACTCTCCGTCATTGACTTCTTAGTCTCAGGATCATCTTTCTGACTAAAAGGAGAAGCAAGAGAATGTTCCTTTGCTAACTTGAGACTGGATGCTTTGTTAGTATCAACGTTTATATCGGATTCATAATCTGAATCCATGGTTTCAGGAAGAATGTTGTAATTTTCATAAAACGAGAAGGGAAAAGCCATTTTGGCGTTTAATTTATTTATATTAATTCCCAATTATTTTTCCTTATATAGGGGTTTTGGGGTTTTGGGGTTTTGGGGTTTTGGGG